TAATATTCTTAGAGGAGACTTGAACTTTTACTAAAGTAAATGTATGGTAAGATATTTGTACTTTAACTCAAGTATCACTTTGATGTACTTTATACAACACTGATATAAACAGCATTTTAATAACAACTGAAGGTGACTTAGTTACTTTGGTATAGAACTGAACCTGAGAAACATCATGTTGGCCCTTTAACATTAGTAACTAAAGCAATAAGAAGCAATGGTTTACATGTCTGTGTATTTATTAGAACAGTAACTGTTATGTTCACTGTGCTCAGTTTTTAATTCGTTTTTAAGTAATAAAACATCATAATACAAATTTGAATTGTATAATTTGAATACACTAATAAACTAAATAGAACTGAAAACTTTTGCTGAAAGCATGGTGTCAGCAGCAGATTTCTGTTCATTTTTATCTTTATTCTTTTAATTTTAATATTTATTTATCAACAAAATTGCATCGTTTTCCTTGCAGGCCTTACCTGTGGCTCCAGGCCAGTCAAGCCTCTCTCAGATGGACCTTCCAGACTCAGGGCTGGCCTACCCCCTGTGGGCCCAGCCCCTCACCACCATATCTGCTCTGCCCAGTCCAGGGGTTCAGTTCTCCCCAGGCTCAGCAGCTCTGCCTGGTTCTCCTGTGGTCCACATGCCCTTGTCCATGTCTTTAACCACCATGATTCCTCAACTGGACGCCCAAGGACTGGACACCCAGTCCCACATTGTGGAGCTCCCACAACAGTCAGAGGACCCGCTTGACCCAGAGTCTCAAGACCAGTGTCTGAATGAGGACCTGGAGGTAGAGCCAGAATCACCAAACCTGCTAGATAAACTTCTGGAGGATCAGAAGAAGCATGGTGGTGATGAGGACAAAGACTTATACCCCAGCTCCCTCTTCCTGCCTAATGTCTGAAAACACACATCTAAAATACGACACAAATGAATAAAAGTGTTTTTCTCAGGGATATGTTCTGGATGAGCTTTCTGACAAACTGTAAAGTTTAAGTTGATAATATTTGTATTTTCAGGTGAGTTTTGTAGCTGTGGTCAGTGAAACTTCTCAAGTCAGAGTCAAATTACCAGTTTCTCACACAGAACTCCTCACAACTTCAGTGGTTTGTTGCCAAAGACAACAACTTGACTTTTTTCATATGAAATGTCAGCGTTCTGTTTCAAAATAAAGGCCTTGAAGGAATGTTTATCACCCAACGTCTTCCATGCCAACGTTTTAGACTAAAATCATCTTATGATGAGAAACAGAAGTTGTGTCTGTTGTGATAAAACCTGAAATTAATCTCATGTAAAATTGTGAGTTTTAAGCACATTGGGCCTCATGCAAGAACCGTTGGTACGCACAGATGTGTTCTTCAGTTGTGCGTATTGATTTAGGAGAATTTGTGACATTCACCAATGTTTTCATATTCTAAGATTTTTTTCAGATATGAACAAAATTCAGGAGTGGTC